CTACCACTTGTAGGTCCTGTGAAATGAGAACTTCCTCAGTATCCCTTGGAGAGCTAGGAAGGAATTCCCTGAGAAGACTCAGTAATTGGGTTGAGTTTGGAGGGAAGAGTATGCACAGAAGAATGACAGAACAGGCCCAGGTTGTCACATGTGTAGAGTTTAAGACTGGAGCAAAGAGAAGAGCTCAGCTAAGGTAAGAGAAGCACAAGAGTGTAAGAAGTGTAATAGCTATAGAAATGAAGAGGGACAGATTTTATAGATATTTAAAATGGGAAGAGCATGATTCAATGACCAATTAGATGCAGAAGGTGAGGGAAAGGAGTCTCCCTCTAGGCTCAGCCTATGGACTTATTAATCCAAGAGTTCTAAGTTAATATAAATCATTTATTAGTTTAACATCTGGGTTCAGTTAAATTAGAAAATTGGGATTATGGCAAGCAAAGGCTATCCCTATTCACATAGTAGATGTGGTTAGACAACTGTTGCTTTGTCCTTCAGCTTTCCTTATCACTCTCCTCTCTAGAAAGAGAACCCCTCACCCCATACACACTCTTCACACATACTCACCCTTTCCTTTGGAAGAACTGCTTCTTCATTCTCCACCTACCACAAAGGCACATGATATAGCACTGGCCAGTCATGGAACATAATTCTTCTGGCTACTATGAGTTTCACCAATATGCATATAAAAGCTTCCCTATGACATTTCACCTTCCCATTGAATGGTAATTTTACATTTGATTAAAATACTTGTACATGTTCTTGCAATGGCATGAAAAATTATAATAAGAGTAATAAGATGATCTAACATCGAGTACTTAATGTTATTCAACGGTACTCAATGGACCAGATACTCTTATACTTGACAGCAATTAATTCATTTAATTCCATTAATCACTTTATAAGGCATGCATTATTATCATTCCCACCTAATGATGAGGAAAGAGAGGAACCAAGACAGTAAGTAATGTTCCAGTGGTCACATGTAAATGCTGGAGCTGGGAAAGCCGGAATTAATAAATTCTCCATAGAGAAAATGTGGCATTTTTAGTCATTATCTGAAGAAACAATACCAACAAGTAAACATCTCTTTCATAAGGTTAAACTTGCAATTACTCAGAATTTGTTGGGAACAGGCGGAGATTATTGATCTATTTTCTTTACTTGATAATTATTTAATTAGCTTATTAGTCAACCATACAAATGCTATGTCTATTTGGTGATGGTGATGTTATGGCTATCTGGAATGAATAACCTCACTTCTAATATTATCACTTGAAATGTCTACTTTATAATTTTTCACCTTATTTACTTTATTTATACCCATTATAACCTGTGTTATACTGTTATTTCCTAAAATGCAGAATCCATGTCTGATTAATCTTCTTAGCATTTAAAGAAGGCTAGACAAAGAGAATTAACATTTTTATTAGGTTCTGTAAGTACATACTAGGGAAATTATTCCTCACTTTAAAGATGAGGAAACTAAGGTTCAGGAAGGTTTTGCCACCTATAATAACTTGAGGCCTGAACTCAAAATGAATTCTACATAATCCTGAAACATATATTATTTTTATTTCCCCATTCTACCTTATAAAATATACATTATCTTATGAGAAGCACCCAGTAACTTTCTGTTGAGTGAATGGACAGATTAAGGGATAGATGGTTGCTATTCAACAGATCTCCAACTTAACTCAAAGCAATATTCATGAACACTTTGGAGAAGAAAATGGAACCTTATTTAAATTTCAACAGTAGAAAGTATACTTGAATAGTCAAACATGGGTTAAATAAACAAAGAAGTTAAGCACGCTAGGTTGTATAACTGGATTGATCAGGCTACTTAATCATATAAGTCTTATCATCACAAAATTGGGTAAATGTGATATAGTCCCCTGGGATAATGTAGCCGTTGAGTATTTCTTTAAATGAATTCATTGAAAGATTAAGTACATAGAAGAGGGAACCTTAAATTTTATCACTGAAATTTGATATTTTTAAAGTGTTTGTTTCCTCGTGGGGACAAGGATGATGTGCATGGGCACCCAGCCACAAAGGCCAGTCACCTCGCAAGGGAGGTGTGGGGCCTGCTGATCTTGTTCCCCAGTAGTCTTGCAGCACAGGGCCAATACAGAGCTTGGCCAGGATTATGGCCCCATGGATGGCAGTGGCTACTCCTTTGGAGCACTTAACACTCATCGACATGTCCTTTGTAGTTCCCAATGGCAGCAAATGCCTTGAACCAGGTCCTCTGGCCAGTGGGGTCTGCTTTTGTGCCAGTATAATCTTTAAAAGCTGTTCTTGAGGGATGTCCTCAAGGACGTCAGATTCTTCGATGGACAGTGAGAAGAGATAGATCTACAGGGACTTGATCTTAATGTCCTTGACCAAGTATCCAGGGTTTCACTCCTTGTCTTTGTCTTTGCCTCCTTGAGCTCCTCAGCCTTGGGGCCCTGCCCTGACCCTGTCTCCAGCTGCAACCTTGGCCCTGATGCCACTGCCAAATTCTCCATGGAAGCCACCATGGCCTCCCATTCTAGGGCCCCCAGGGTCTCCCACTCCATCAACATCATCCACCTTTTGGTGTTTCCTTGAAGAAGAAGCTAATATTTTTATGTTGTTTTGGTTTTTGATGTACAAGTTTTTCACATCTATTATTGAATTTATACTTAAGTATTTTATGCTTTTTCATGTTGTTAATGAAATTGTCTTTTTAGTGCAATTTGCAGAATGTTCATTGCTAGTGTATAGAAATTGAATTGATTTTTGCATATTGATCAAGTATTCTGCAACCCTATTGACATTGTTCATAAATTCTAATAGTTTTTTAGTGAATTGATTAGGATTTTAAAAATAAAATAATGTTATATACAAGTAGAGATAGTTCTATTTACTTCTTAATTTCCAATATTGATATATTTTATTTATTTATCTTTCTTAATGAACCTGGTTAAAAACTCTAGTTTCAGTGCTAAACAGAAGTGCTATGAGTGGACATCCTTGTCTTATACCTCATCTTAGGGGAAAAGCAGTCAGTCTTTCACCCTTTAGTATGGTAATTGTGTGTGTGTGTGTGTGTGTGTGTGTGTGTGTGTGTGTGTGTGTGTTTATTTTTGATTTTGTTTGTAAATGCTTTTTATTAGGTTGAGGAAGTTTCCTTCTATTACTAGTTTGTCAGTGTTTTCATCATGAAAGGGTATTGGATTTTTCTCATGAAAGCAGCATCTATTGAGAGGATTATATGGTTTTTGTCTTTAATGTTATCACTATGGTATGTTACATCATTTGATATTTAGATGTTAATGTTAAACCAACTACCTCATATAAATCCCACTTTGTATTGGTATATAATTTCTACTATTTTATGTACTTCAAAAGCATTTAGGTACTCCAAAAGTCTTCCAAAATTATTGAGGCTTTTAAAAATGAAAAGTCTTATAAAAACGAATAATCAAAAGTTTAAAAACCCCAAGCAGGCGGCTCAGGTGGTTGGGTGTCCTCCCATCCACTAGAAAAGTTGTGGGTTTGATTCCCAGTTGAGGCACATATGGGAGGCTCCAGTAGATGTTTCTCTATCACATCAAAGTTTCTCTCTGACATCAGTGTTTCCTTTTCTCTCTCTCCCTCCCTTTCTTTCTATATAAAATCAATAGGAAAAGATATCCTCGGGTGAAGATTAAAAAAAATAAGTTATACAGTAGCCTCATTCTAGATCACTTCCAAATCCCTGCCTCTGGTATGTTAGACCCTTACCCCAGTCGTGAAATCCATTATCCTAAAGGGAGAATTTTGACGTCTTACTTAAAATACTGACCATGCCTGACTGGTTTGGCTCAGTGGATAGAGCGTCGGCCTGCGGATTGAAAGGTCCTGGGTTTGATTCTGGTCAAGGGCATGTACCCTGATTGGGAGCACATCCCCAGTGGGGTGTGTGCAGGAGGCAGCTGATCAATGTTTCTTTCTCATCGATGTTTTTAGCTCTCTATCCCTTTCCCTTCCTGTCTATAAAAATTCAATAAAGTGTATTTAAAAAAATTAAAAAAAAATACTGACCACATAAGCAGGTTGATGATACAGGTCACTCTACCATCACATACAAGAAATTTATAGAGTTTATATTTTTAAAATTTTAATAAATATGTTGCCAACAAGATGACGAAAATCATTAACAAATGTTTAAACATTTTTTAACCATAGAACTTAACCTTTTCGGGAGCCAAAGCTTAAAGAGTTGAGAATAGCTGATGAACTTCCCCTTATAGAAATTATTCTATAGCCATAAATAAGTAATAAAATCGTGATAAAATAGTTATTTATATTGAAAATTTTTTTAAAAAATTTATTTTTGTTGTGATTTTTAACCTAGGAATTATCCAGTGAGTTTGTAAACTCATATTTTTATATAACTTAGTATCCTAGTAAAATACAGCAGTGTGCTTTGATAAGTGTTAGTTTGCATTTAATAAGTTTTAGTGCCCATTAACATGTTTTTCATGAAGTACTATAGCTGTAAGTAATGTATTATAGGTATACTTTAAGTTAACCATCGTGGACTATAAAGATGGTTAAAATTGTTTCAATAAAACTAGTCCCAAAGCTACGCACCCTCACATGTACTTACATGACTGAACTAATAACATAAAGTTTTTAAAAAGTGATTTAATTGGTAAAGCTTCAAAATAACTGGCTCATATTTTTACATTAAAACTGTCCTTAATTATATCTTGACTGTCATTTATAAAAGTTTACTTTTCAATTCTTCATTATTCATTTATCAACCATTAACTGGCACAGTCCTGAGTCTGACCTTGTTACATGGCTATGAATCTGGTCTTTTGAAAATTATTACAATGAAAATGACAATACTTCTTCCACAGTTTTGTTTCAGGAATCTTGTTTAACTCTCTTTATGATGTTTAACTTTTTTTCACCTAAGTATTTTGGAATTACTTTGACTTCTCACTAAATCCTTTTATCTCTCTCTTTTTTTTTTATAGCATTGGAAGCTATAGATAATACAAGGACTTCACGAGTGGGAGAGATTGGACTGGGAGACTCAGCAGGTCAGGACATTTTCATTTTCATTTGCTGTTCATTCTTTTGCTATCCATTCCAGGGTTCTTGCATCTCTTGCCACTTGTTTAGTTCTTGTAGTATGTGCTTAGTTAGTATGTTCTCAGTTTTGCAAATCATGACTAACACCTTTACGTAAAAAATACAGCATTTGGGTATGTTCTTTTTAGGATTTGGAGGTGAAAACATAATTTAAAAAAATTTTCAAGAGTAGAAGGAAATTTACAACCTAATAATATATATAGAGATACCCTGATTTCTATTGTTCTTTATGGTATGTAAGCTGTTTTGAGGTGAAAGTTTCTTGATAACATTTTTAGAATCAAAACCTTAAATCATATAAAATGTGACTATGTAATTGTAGTAGGAGAGCACTTGGTTCATGAAAACCAAGTTTTCTTTCTTCTCTGCTGTATTCTCGGGGTTTGGGTACACCTCCAAAAGCTCTTGACACTCTTCAGAATCAATCTGTTTGCTAACATTAATCTTAAGTACTGAATGTCGACTACCATGTGTAAAATGAAGGTTAATTAAAACAGACAATTTCTATGTCAATAGGAAAATCCCAACAGTCAAAGGGTCTGCTATGAGCGTTTGTCAGCCATTGTGGAAGGCTGGGTGTTAGCCACACTCCTCAGTAAGCTGGAACCAAGCTGACATCTGCAGTCCCATAGCCCTGGGCTTCACCCTGAGTGACTTTGTGCTCATCTCTAGCTTTAGAGAAGCCTCCCACTTGTTTGAAACAGTGATTACCACTCTCACTATTGCTGCTTAGTTATTGATAGAAGCTTGGGGATCCCTTCCCTCTCTGTTACTCCTCTGGTGTTTCCACTTCCACAACTCCTCTGCAGTTGGACTTAGCCCCTCCCCGTCCAGGTCTCCTATTGAGCAACCACCAGTGGGTTTTCAGTTTTCATCACACAGAGATAATGCCTTTGTCCTTCAGTCTGATCACACCTCTTGAAACAAAATGGCTTATTCAGAAAGGAGCTAAGCTTCAAGTTCTCCCTGGATGCTTCAGGGATTTAGTGATTTTCTAGCATTAGCATTAGGGACTACACAGTTTATTATTGTTATGTATCTTGAGAGAATACTACCCTCCATCTTAAAGGAAAGTAATTTCAAGTCGATCTTGCTAACATCTCTGCTTATAAATAAATATAGAGAGTCCTGAAACAAAAAAAGCTATATTTAGAATGATATGCCTTAGTAGTTGGGTTTGTCAGTATGTCTGCATGGATTCTTGCAGAGTTGAGAACCTCTTTGGGGTAATACTTTTATAAAGAGTTTTTCTGGTAGTTAATATCCCCAAATTTTTTAGTTTACAAATATCCTTGAACTAAACATTAAAAAGAAATAAATTGAAGCCCCAAGTGATGGTTCTTCTTGGCATCCCCCTGTTAATGTAAATACTGACATTAAATTGAATCTGGCTCTTGTGTGTCTGGAAGCGAAATCAAGAAAGAAGAGACAAATGCTTCAGATATCCCTAATCTTGAGAGATAGAAAGAACCTCAATCCAGTCCTCCTATTTTATAAATCTAAGTTGCCAACCATGTCACATAAAATATTGCTAACAGAGGTAACTCTGTGTTTTTTGACATGATGCAGGCCTACTGCATTATGCTGCCTTCCAGCTTGTGGAGTACAAATAATTCTGCACACAGCATTGTGCATACACACAGAAAATACATCATCATTTGCCATCTTTACCAATTTATAATTTGATAAAGAATACAATCTATGCTGATACTTTGGATTTTACTGATATTTGAAGATATCAAGAATTTTAAGCTTATATTTTTTAATGTTGTTTTTCTGGAGACATTTTCTGTTTAGATAGATGGAATGAAAAGATGATTATCTAGCCATTCATTCATTCATTCATTCATTCATTCATTCATTCATTCATATAACAGGAGTTCTTACTGTCCAGGAGCTTTTATTCTAGTGGAGGGAAACGTAAGTTGAAGATCTTAATGTATATGTTTATGGGGATAAGTACTAAGAATAAGATAAAATGGACTAAATAGAGAATGGTGGGAGACTATATTAGACACTGTGTCTAAGAAAGGCCTTTCTGAGAAGGAGAGAATGGAACACAGACCTAAAAGGAGTGAGAGTGGGGGCCATTTAGATATATGGGTGAAGAGAGTTACATTCAGTGGCAAGAACAAGTATAAGGAGTGTGCTTGGTGTGTTAAAGGAGTTTCAAGAAGGGCAGTATGTCAGGAAGAGAGGAAGGAGTGGACAAGAGATGAGAATGGGAGGATGATATCCAGTCCATCACATAGGGCCTGGTAGACTACGGTAGGACCTTGACTATTGTTCTGAGTGAGATGGGAATCATCAAAGGGGTTTTAGCCAGTAAGGGGCATGATATGTCTCACATGACACTCAGACGTACAGGTTGTATAAAGCATTTTTAAAATTACACTTTAACCACAGAATGTAAATTATAAATGAAAATAAATTAAAAATCATCAGAGCAATTTTATCTGAGGAAGATATTGTCTGATGATTGTGTTCAAGGAACTAATGATAGTACATCTATCATTTTTATTTTTCATATCCTTAAATTGCAGAATTATTTTGCATTTGAATCATGTTATTTGATTTTGTATAATAGTTTATTGTTTTGTAATAGGGACATTAGTGACAATGTCATGGAATAGTTAAATAGTGTACCTTTGATTAGGTCCTTTGCACAACCCAATTTCCCATTTGTTTGCCATCTATAATTTCTACCAAAACTAACTACATAGCTTTGTATAAGTACACAAATAAGTCATGAATTTTATCTTCTATTTGCAAAGGAAGATGTTTGATAATTATGTTATGGTTTTATTATAATAAATCACATGACCCAGAAGAATATTTACTAGGAGAAACATAGAATAGTTTAAAAAATAACAACTTAGTAAGAATTAGAGGACATGAATTCTGGAACTAGCTCTGAAATTTACCAGCCTGATGACTTAGGGTCTTTAACCTGTATTTGCCTGCCAATGACCACTGTTTCCTGTAAGGAAAAAGGCACTGTTATTGTCTTTGCAGTTACATTACAGTTTTTAAGCCCGGGTACACATATTAGGTGGTAAATAAAAGTTGGTTAGTAAGAAGTGACATTTTTTAATATAAATGAGAAAATAAGGGATATTATTTCATATAAATAACAGAGATAAATGTCCATATTTATCTTTAGAAAGATTATCAGGTTAGAGAAGACATTATTGATCCTTAGAAGGAAGAGTTATTTCCAAAATTATTATTACTATCATTTCAAAGAATCAAAGTGACTATTAAAAAATTTAAGAGGTGGAGGTTCCTTCTATTGGTGTTTTTTTTAGCAGCAGTTTCCAATTTGTAAATAACTTTATTTTATTAAAAATATTTCAGTCCAGCCAGTATGGCTCAGTGGTTGAGTGTCCACCAATTAAACAGGAGGTCATGGTTTAATTAGAGGGGTTGCAAGCTCGAGCCCCAGTGTGAGGTGTGCAGGAGGTGGCCAATCAGTGATTCCCTCTCATCATTGATGTTTCTCTCTCTCTACCTCTCTCTCCCTTACTCTCTGAAATCAATAAAAATATATTTTAAAAATATTTCAAATGTAAATCAATACATTAACAATAATTTTAGAACTGTAATTAGGTATCTAAGCTTAGATTTCCATTAGTTGGCTACCAAAACATTCATGTAGCATATATATGCTATTTGTTTATGAGTATGTAATATAATTTTCCTAAAAATTCTTATTTATTCAACAGAGAAATAAGGAAATTGTTCTTCAACATTTTTTTTGGGAGGAGAGGGTATGCCTACCTCAAATATACAAACACACCTACAATTATTGAATCTAGTGTGATTCCTGTCCTTTTCTGGGTGAAGGAGGTTCTTGTTCTCTCTGAAGGTCCAGGGTCTTCACTTATGCTCATACCCCATTTCCTAGGACAGTTTCAGAAACATTGATTCTTTTTATTTTTTGTTGTATTTTTTATTATTTTTTATTTTTTATTTTTTTAGAGAGAGAGAGGAAGGAAGAGGGAGAGAGAGAGAAACATCTATCAGTTGCCGCCCACACACACCCTGACCAGTGATCAAGCCCCCAACTGGGCATGTACCCTGGCTGGGAATCTGACTGGCAACCTTTTGGTGCAAGGGACAATGCTCAACCCACTGAGCAACACTGGCCAGAGCATAAACATGGATCCTACCCTCTTGTATCTTCTACTTCTTCTTTACTGAAACCTTTAACATGTAAACATGCTCAGGTTTCCCATCTTAAAACAAACAAATAAATAAAAACTTTCCTTTGGTCCTTCTTCCTCCAGCTACCTCTCCTTTCATATATATGGTTCTTAGAAGTTCTAATTTACTGTCTCCATTTTCTTTCTTGCCCTTTTCATCTATGGATTTTTTTTCATCATTTTCATCTATGGAATCATGATGAGGAAGTGATGGAGAATTTTGTTTTTACTTCCACAATAACAAGAAATCCATTCATTGTGGCTGATTGCCTTTAAACATTTATAGTAAAATCTTTAGCTCATGGATTATTGGAGTGATCCTATTTACAGTAAACATGCTGATGTTATAGAGATCTGACAAATACCACTATTATCATATGACTACTGTGAAGTTTTGGGGCAGAAGTGCCAGTTAGATGAGGGGAGCCCCATTCTGAATGCTGAGTGAGTGCTTGCCCAGGGTGTCCCCAGGAACAGGAGCTGACACAGGTGTTCAGCACAGTTGCTTACTGCTTCCCATCAAGAAGGATGGGGGGTTCTTAGCGCTGCCGGTTGCGGCACTCGGCATCTCTGGCAAGCAGTCAGCCTTGCCTGTGGAATTCCCTGGGGAAAATAAAAGCCACAGGGAAGTCATCAGTGTGACCCTCTGCTGGGTGGTTGGCACAAGGCTGCTCCACGGGAAGGCTTTCAGTTGTCACTTTCTGAACGGGTAGATATCAGGTGCGGAGGGAGGCTCCCCTTTC